TCCGAGTCTAAGAGGATTATCTATCGTCGACAAGCACATGAAGCAAAACGACGAACCAAGTAGCCCACGCGTATCAATTAGTTCGTGCGCGTCGGTCAACACGGGCTCGTTAATTAGTTCGCACACGTCGGTCAACACGCGCTCGTTAATCAGTTCGCGCACGTCAGTCAACACGTGTGCGTCAATCAGTTCGTGCACATTAATCAATTCGTGCTCATCAATCAAACACGCGTACGTCAACCAACGCGCGTTCGACGGCCAGTCCCGCCCCGCGCCCCCGCGGGTAAGATTCGCCCCCGCATGCTGTTTCGACCCCTGTTCGGTTTTTGACGGTTTTTCTCGGGATTTGTTCGTTCCTGAGCATCCAAACTGATCTGATATCATCCCTAAACATTGTTAATCAGTTATTAACTGAAGATAAATATGAATCATTCATTCTTATCCAAAAATCCCTAACCGAAGCCTATAAATACGAGCTCGCGGGCTCATTTCAATAGGGGGATTAATTATCAAGACGAGGAGGTGCTGCCGAGTTGGAGAGCAAGGGAGCACGAATTTCAGCAAGGGCTAGCGAGATCCCGGCGAATCCCGGCATAAAGAAGGAGCAATTCGAAGGATCTGAAGTCTGTTCCCATCCGTTCCTTGAGATTAGGCTTGGTCTTAATCTCGAGAAGAGCTACTGATTTCGCTTGGTCGATTTCAGCACTTTAAACAGTGGGTTCTTCAAACCATGGCCAGTCTTCCACCAAATCTCAAATCTCTTATCCAAACCCATCCTCTACCATAAAAAATAAGAAAATAGGGTTGATTGATATTCATATCCATGTCTGAGGAAGTTGTCCAGGTGGAGCGGCCATCAGTGCGAATTTGGTGGTAGCGGCAAATTTTCAAATAAGAACTTTGAAGGTTAAAGAGAGGAAATGTAAAACCCTGTAATATCTAAAAATATTGTGATTAATAGTGATAAATAAGTTTTATTATGAAAATATCATTTAATAATGAATGAGCATGATAGTAATTTTTTGAGACCAATTAAGAGTATATATGCATTATACACCGATGCAATTCGAATATGGAAAAACAACCAATTAAGAGTATATGCACATTACACACTGATGAAATGAATCTGGAAAAATGCAAAAGGAAAAAAGTTTTAGGTCTCTTTAATTTCTTTCCAACGCATCTTAAATCACCTTACTCCTAGGTCGGACAAAAGAGCTACAGCCAAAATACCGAAGATTGTTTTCCCAGTTTGACTGGGCTTCCTGTTAAACACACCCAAAAATTCTCTTTTACATCAGATTTGTGAACCCTAGCAGCCACCCTCTCCTCTTAAAAACCCCAGAGTATATTTGTGGTGAATTTTGAGAGCTTTGTGAAGCAAATACCGAGAAGAGTGTGAGATTGTCGGTGTTTGGCAAGGGAGAACTTGTTTTCTAGCATCATTGGATTTTCCAGCAGCGTTTTGAGGCAAGTTTCATCTCCTCCAATCTCATCCCTATTTTTAATTGATTTTTTTGAGTTTTATTTAGTTTTATTGAGCATTAAAACCTAGTTTAAGTATAAAATTTGTTCTTTAAATCATATAATACAAGATCTGATCTTTTGGTTTTAAAAAGTTATAAATGAATTCTCTAACTTAGATTTAAGATTTGAAATCAATTTTAACAGGAGCTTTTTTGTTGACATTTAATGATTTTCATGATATTTCTGACGAACATGAACATGTTAGGGTTTATATAATTCATCAAAATATAATAATTAGAGTTTCATGTAGTTATTTGAACCCTAATCACGTTGAACAATATTAATTTTGTGAATTTTGTGTAAATATATGAACTTGTAACCATGTAGATCAAAACCCGACGAAACTCATGTCAGTCAATCGAAGCTAAGGAGTCAGTCGACCAATCCCACTTGTTTTGCCTTGTACACATTTGTGCACATGTTTAGTCGACCGAAGGGCTTTTGTCGGTCGACTGATCAGTGTAGAGTTGTGATTGGTTATTTTCTTCATACGGGTTTGATTGTGAACCCAAAGTACGTGTTGCACATCGAGATATGTGAATTTTGTATGTGGATACACGAATTGGATTTGAGCACGCATGACCGTTTAGAGGTACGTAATCTAAGCTTTGCATTTTTAATGACAGATAGTGATATATGCATTGCATTTCATGATAGTTGGATGCTTTAGTGGGTTACTTGGTATGTAGCAATGAGACTGCGACAGACTACACTCAGGGTGGCTAGTTGGTATGTTGTAATGAGACCACAACAGGCTACACTCCATGTGAATCATTATTGAGTGGGTTAGTTGGCATTCCGCAATGAGACCGTGATAAACTACATTCAGGGTAAATTAGTTGGTATACTACAATGAGATCGCGGTAGACTTCACCCATGTGCATCATTTTTTTCGTATAGAGCATTTTACAGATTTCATTCATGCACCCATAATAGTTATCTGAGAGTAGGATATAATACTGAGATTGGCACACATGGCATATTTTCTATGAGAGATGATTTTATCGAATTATTTTATTTATGACTATGCTAACTACCTGAGGATAGTGTGAGGATTTGACATGACTTATATTGTTGAGATTTAGAGTTGTATTTTTATTTACTGTTTCATTCCTAGGACTCTAGAGTTAGGATTTAGCGATTTACAATTTAAAACATGGTATATACATGAGGGTTTCATTGTTTGGATTATTTCGCTCGACGTACTAATTCTCATGTTGTGAATTTCTAAATCTCAATCTCCTGTTAGTCCTGAATAGATGGTTTTATATTTATATGTACTAACTTATTTTCATATATACTCTCCCCTCCCCATGTGGGCGGTGGAGATGATTTAGCTAGCGCTTTGACGCTCGTTATTTCCCCTCTTTTCAGGCAGTGAGCCAGGCGTACGGAGAATCGCAAGTTGATGGAGTTTTGGCTTAGTCTCTATCTTTATTTACATTAGTAGTTATTTATGCTCCACAGTAGTTTATCATTTATTTTTAAATATTTAGAGTTGTATTACATTTTTGGAAAGGCAGAATGCCTTAGTAGCATTTCCATTGACTATATGTATTGAGACATTTTACATTTGTTCCAGTATCAGTTGTATTTCATTTATTTCAGTTGGGAACATGATTATTGACTATTTTCAGATATCTCTTCTTATATATCATGTTCATTACATTAGTACCTTCATTTACCTATTTTGTACCTACACCTGTTGTTTGATTCCACCTAGATAGATATTATTGAGATGGTGAAACGTGTTATTGCACAGTGTAGGTGCATGAGAGGTTTGACATCCTTGGGTTCACCTTAGACTGCAGTCTTGTGTGAAACCAGGGGTGACACAGGAAAGGTTCTATGTGAACTATATTTGCACATGAGTTAGCCCATCCTAAGGGGCAGGGGAAGCCCATGAGAAGGTGCATCGCCGCGCGAGCTCCGAAAGCGATTTAAGTTAAATGTGCCTAGTTGGGACGTGGCAATGGACGACAATGTTAGGAAGTTCAGAGAAGCTAACGAGGGCCTCAAGAAGAATTATATTTTCCGCTTAACAGTCCACCCGCTCTGGAAACAGCTCAGCCAGAGGTAGTGTTCAATGGCTGGAAGAGCACTGCACATGATGTGTTGTCTAGTGCGCCTCTGATGTCCCTTGAAAATCCGGAGGACTAATTGCCGCGCACTCTTGGTCATAGTCATAACCGCATTAGATCTTCAAGATAAACTACCTCTGACTAGTGGAACAATGTATGCAAGAGAAGTCGGTAAAACGGATCAATATTGATAGATAGGAGTGCATTTATCAACATCTTATTTTGTGGTGTGGACAACTAGGTAAAAGGTTTGATCAATGATCAGTGTGAACGTATTTTTGAAGGTCCACATGTTTCGTTTATTCCTTTCATTCTTTTCCGACTTCTTTCCTTCCATTCCTTTAAGTCGCTCATTCCTTGGGATTACTTTTGTTCGACATTCCCATATCCATCTCTTTACATTAGAGTTTTGGCTGAGTTTGGTTTTTGGTTGAAAATGAAAGAAAATAAAACAAAAGGAAAATGAATTAAGAAAACTGAGCAAAAAAAGTAAGGGAATAGCAGTCTTTGTATGCTTGGTGAAGGGGAAGTCGTAAGAAGAATTTGAAGAAAATTATTAAAAATAAGCTCTCTTGCTGTTGCTAGTTCAATAAAATGTTGAAAGAAAACAAATTTAATTTATAACATTTATTGACCTATATTAATTCATTCTTTTTAAAATGAATTATTATTATTTTTAATAAATTTGTTTTGGATGAGGATAGTATCTACCTCCAGAAACAAAATTTGTTAGTCTTCATTTAGGAAAAAAAAATCTATACAAAATCTTACAATGACAAAGTAGATTGTGATGACATCACACTTTCAATTTATGTCACTACAAATAGTATATATATCCACTAGCAACAATACATGCCAGTAAATATTTAGTGAAATGAAATACCGAATTAATACAAATGATATAAATGATAATATATATAACATTAACTTTTAGAGTATCCTATAAATTATAGGATTTACTTTTCATTTCTGATAAGGTTATGTTTAGACAACCTTCTATATGATTTTTTAGAGTTTTTCCAATATTAGTCCCTTAATTCTTTAATATTTTGAAATTAGTCCCCTTAAATCATTCAAATTGCTCTTAGATTCCTTAACTTTAAGCTCATTTCAAAGCTAGCCCCAAATCATTAAAACTGCCGTTAGCTCCCCTTGTTCTTATAATTTGTTTTCAAATTAGTTCACTCAATTAAGAGCAGAAGTAGCAATTGGAGGGATTAGTTTGAATTTTTTATGAGAATGAGGTCCTAATGGCAATTTCAGGGATGGGCTATTTCACAATGTGAAAACCTTAAGGACGATTGTCCAAAAAATAATTTGTTTCCATTTTTTTTTAACCTCACCAAAGCAGGTTGCCCTTTCTAACCCATTTTAATAGCAGGTGGGGCCCGCATGGAATTAGCTAGAGATGAAGATGCACACGTCGCTAAGGTTTAGCTGTGGATTTTAGGTTCGGCCCCGACACTTTTTTCGCTCGCTTTCTATGGGTTCTAGTGAAGAAAAAAGAAACGAAAGTTCCAATTACCTTTTTTCCCTCCAACTAATCTAATTTTTCACCTTAGTTTCCTTTTCCTTTTGAGAAATGAAAGTTTCAGTTACATTTTTCTCCAAATAATCTAATGCTTGGGTAGGATAAAAATAACCCACATTTTGAGTGGTTACCGAACATTAGTCAAGGCTAAAACTATGTTGAGCGAAACTAGGGCACATCAATTGAACCAGTTCTTTTTTTTTCTTTTTAGTCTAATGAGAAGAGATGATCCGTAATTAGAATGTGGCTTAGGTCAAAATAGATTTAATATGGAGTTGCCAAAAGAATCTAGAATCGGTTATTATTTTATTTTATTTTATTTTGATAACTAGATCCATTTTTTAGATTTTGTATGACTCAAATAGTGATTTTGGCTTTAACCTGTAAAATTAAATACACTTTATTTTATCCTTTTTCACTTCAGATAGTTATACACTACTACAAACTGTAGCAGCCTAACGGTTGTAACCGTTGGGGCTGAGCGTATCCCCAACGGTTACAACCATTGGGGCTGCTAAAACGCCCGTTGGGACAAATTGTGTTGGGGCTGACTTTGCCCTAACGGTTAAAAAATTTGCTCCAACGGTTACAACCGTTGAGGCAAGAAATTTTTATTTTTTTATTTTAAAAAATAAAAAAAAGGTCCTAACAGTTGTAACCGTTGGGGCCAGAAATTTTTATTTTTTGATTTTAAAAAATAAAAAAATAGGTCGCAACGGTTGTAAACGTTTGGGCCTTAATCAGCCCCAACGAGTACAACCGTTGGGGCCTTTAGATTGCTGCTGGGATTTAAACAACCAGATATTGGGGTATCATGAGCCAAGCATGCGATACAAGCTTAAATTTCACTAACATGTCTAAATTCTATGCATATATTGTTTTCCATACATCAAACTGAACATTTGTAGGTTTTCCTACACTACATACCAATTTATTGACAAAAAATTCCTCCTGAAACAACCCATTTCGAGTGACAAGAATTAGGTACAAAACTATTAACTATGTATGTACTCAGCTAGCTCAATTATTAACAACATCTGCATTGTAAATGGTCAGTCATCTACGTACACAAATCTAATACTAGCTCTCCGGCCATGTTCTTGATTGAACTCTGAAAGAACTTACACCCCTGAATTTGTTCTGTACATACAAAAATAGGTGCTACTTGCATTGTTATTAGTAGAACCAAACCGCTGCGTAGCAGTAGAAACAGGCGTGGTAGTAGCAGCAGTGGAAGCCGTGGTCGCCACGAACTCCACCTCGACCTCAACCGCGGAGCGAGCCCTCGCAGCGCTGGAGCTAATGTGCACGATTGAGAAGGGAGCAGCAGAGGTCCGCGCTCACGCGCTGGCCGCCCTCGCGATGGGCGAAGCTATCGAGAACATGCAGGGGCACGGGAGGGAGTGCGCGATTGGAGTGCTGGCGGCTGTCTACGGAGGCAGCGGTGATCAAGCGAAGGATGCACCGGAGGAGGTGATAAGGGCGGTGATGATGGCAATGCAGGGGGAGTGCAGTTTAAGGTGGAGGAGGAAGGGGGTGTTTTGTTGAAAGCCTTGCAGCAAGTGTGGACGGTTGGATTCGACTGCTTTGAAGTTATCAGCTCCAACACGACGACACCAAAGCTATAGACATAACTTTTATCTGTCAACTATTGAGTCATGTAATATTCTGGATCTAAATAACCCTGTAAGGATAAAAATCAATGTATTATATCAGAAAAAGGTTACTCATCTATTCATTGGAACAATATCTAGCGTGCGTATTGCTTATTCTGCTGAACAAGCTACTAGATACATCTAACGTCACAGTGGGAACATTAGAAATGTAGCTAAAGACTGTTAATTTTTAGTTAAAAACAAAACAAGGACTAGTATTATAACAATTATTTAAGCATGAAAAAATAAAGAAACTAGATCGTGATGACTTGGGCTACTCTCTAGCTTGGAGGATGGGAACACATGAAGTTAGACACTCACAAGAGTTCCCTTGACTTGAGTAGAAATATGCCCTTTATTGGTGTTAGCAGCTAGCTTTGAGAGATCAAATTCAGCAACCTTGGCATTTAAATTTTAATCAAGTAGGATATTAGTTGACTTGACGTCTCTATGAATTATGGGAGGATGGGCAAGTTCATGAAGATAGGCAAGTCCTGCTGAGCCTGAGGGCAATTCTGAACCTCCTCTTCCAATTTAGTCGTATACGATCTTTTCTTGCAGGGTTGTAGTAGAAGAATAAACACGTACATTTAGTGCATATACATAAAGGAGGAAGTATATTGAATTGTTCAAATTATAGTTAGGAAAGGACACCTGTCAACTTATCCCTCAGGGTTCCATTTGGGATGAATTCATAGACAAGCATCTGCTCTCCTTGCTCGAAGTAAAAACCTACAAGGCCTAGTAAATTTTGTGATGGACCCAGGAGGGCAATTTGATCTCTATCTTGAACTGAAGCCCACCTTGCATGAATCCTTGTTGTGCTCTCTTATTTGCAACATTTTGCCCATTGGGAAGCAATCCCCTATAGACCTGGAGTTGTATATACAAACAATAGTTTAGGTAAAAACTACCTCAGTATTTTCAGTATGTGGGGTACATACCAAATGGTTTGCTTAATAAGATAGCAAACATTTATTTTCATAGGTGTTGTAAGAAAACACTCATTCACATTTTCCTAACAATGATACAATTCTAGTGGTCTAAAAGAAAACAAATTATACCACATTGTAGCTCAACCCCAAACACATCCAACTGTTAAAAAAACCCAACTTTGCAAGTCTAACACAATCAAAAATCTCAAAAAAAGCAAAGCCCTAACTCAACAATATAAACCCAACTCTGCTAGGGATATGTTAAAAATAAACTTATAAGAAGAGGTGTGATAATAAAGTAAAAGTGTTAGGATAAGACCAAATTAAGTTCGATGCTACAATTATTTAGGACCTTCTACAAATGTTTGATCACATACCTAGTAAAAACATCATTCAATTGACAAAGGCAAAAAATAAATGTTTGATAACATACTTGGTAAAAACTATTTTTAATTGACAAAGGTAGAAAATCTATTGTTCTGCAAGCACTGATGTATATAATCCTTTAAAACTATTAGAAATGCATGAGATAAATGTTTGATCACATACCTGGTAAAAATGTCGTTCAATTGACAAAGGCAGAAAATAACCCAACGAATGGAAGAATCTAATTAGTAAATTCACAGAACAATCCCCGGTCAAACCTGCTCCAATCCGAGAAAATATTTTTAAGGCTAAACATTTTGATTGGGATGAAGATATTTTGTCAAAATCTAAAATAACTGTAATATTCATGCAACTAAAAACAAATAAATGCACAGAAAAAAATATTTTTCTTTTGGCAAAACTAAGTAAATTTCTGGGTAAATTAAATAAATCAACACATAATTAGATTTTTTTCATCAACAATTCCCTTAATTGATCAACAAATCCTACAAGCAAACCACCTTTGATAAAGGTTTTATTAGGGTTTATATACCATTAGACCTCTAAAAACAACAAAATTATGCAACTAATCAATCTATCATGCTAAGAATCAAACTTTGTAGCCTAAGCAGAGATCTAATGCAAAACATCTCATTACATCATAACCTTACCTTCACCAACTAGCTTGGATGTCTGAGATGGACGATGAGGCAGCGGCCGAATGTGACGCCCCTAGGTTCACACAAGGCTGCAGTCCAAGGTGAAACCAAGAATGTCAAACCTGCCATGCACCACACCGTGCAGTAACATGTTTCACCATCACAATTACTATCTCTCTAGTAGAGTCAATAACAAGTGTAGGTACAAAATCAAGTGAAAGATAATACAAGAGTCAACTGATAAAATAATAGAGATCAAATATATACTTCATCATCTAACATACTGAAGTACAAGTCAATGTCTGAAATGAATAAACTGGAACTTCTCAACAATGAAGTACAAGTCAATGTCTGAAATGAATAAACTGGAACTTCTCAACAAATCTCAAATACAATTGTCTGAATAAAAGGAAACAAGGCACACAGCCTTTACAACTTCTAGGATAAACTCTCAAATGTCTAACAAAGTTCTACAGTGGAGTTCAAAAGAAAATATAACTATAATAAACGGCTGGAGCTAAAGTGCAACGCCATCAACTTGCGACTCTCCGGGCTCCTAGCTCGTTACCTGAAAGGGGGAGGGACAACGAGCGTCAAAGCGCTAGCGAGCAACATCACAACCAACCCCAAGGGAAATGCTCATTGTATACAGAAAATACAGTTAACACATATATATATATGAAATAACTTATCCTATATAGGTCATCACAACGTGAGCATAAGTACGTCGAGCGAAATAATCCAAACAAGAAAACCCTCATGTATATACCATGTAGCTCAAATTGTAATTACCTATGTATAAGAGGATTTTAGTAGTTAGGAAATCACAACACGAGCATAGGTATGTCGAGCGAAATAATCCAAACAAGGAAACCCTCATGTATATACCTTGTATCTCAAATTGTAAATCCCTAAATACCAAAACCCGGAATCTAATATAGGAACAAATAAATTTAAAGAATACAAAACCCATCTCTACTTCCAAACATAGTGTCATGTCGAACTCACATGAATGTCATGTCCGAAAACAATTAAGTGTCCAATACATAGACTATATAGATTAAATGTCCAACACATGGACTGCATGAAGTAAACGTCCAACACATGGACTGAAAGTAATGAGTGTCCAACGCATGGACTGAATTTAACCAATGTCCAACGCATGGACTGAATATAACCAAATGTCCAACGCATGGACTAAATATAACCAATGTCCAACGCATGGACTGAATTTAATGAATGTCCAACACGAGGACTAAAAGGAATGAGTGTTCAACACGAGGACTAAAAGGAATGAGTGTCCAACACGAGGAGTAAATATACGTATGCGAAGTGTAAGTGTCGATGATATATATATATTCACAAGATACACATAGACTCATGTCACACGTGCCTCGGTGTGCGTATCGGTACTTGTGTCAAAAGTCATCTCACATGTACAGATAAGTCACTAACATTGTAAACTAATGTCAGATAATCGAGGAGACCCCGAAAAGCAACTCAAACAGATCCAAACTGAAGAAGTACAAAAGAAGGAAACTCCTCATCAGTCGACTCATTGGTCGACTCATCAGTCGACTCATAAGTCGACTCATGAGTCGACTCATTGGTCGAATGAGCAGAAAATCCCCAGTTTTATTGCTTTCGACGATTTTCTGCAAACATTGATAAACTAAGGTTCTCTTGTTCATGTCCAGCAATAAATATCCAATTCTAACACATGTATATCAATAGAAACGAAAGATTTACATGTAATATTTTATATTAAAACCCTAAACATATTTATTCATGTTTAAAAGCGTATTGAAACCATTAAATCACAATAAAACCTATGTTTAAACAAATTCCAGATCTGGATCTACTTTTACAAATTCGTTTGTGAGCTTTTATAAACTGAAAACAAACAAATTCCAGATCTGGATCTACTTTTACAAATTCGTTTGTGAGCTTTTATAAACTGAAAACATTCTATTTTCGCATCATATGCTATAAAGATCTATTTTTATACACAAATAGTGATTTAGGCTCAATAAAACCGAAATAAAACCAAATAAAAGCAGACAAACAGTGGGTGTAGGATTGGACGAGATGTTACTCACCTCTGAAGTGCTATAAACTCCTGAATCCGATGAGAGGACGATCCCCTTCAACAGCACCACAAAGATCCCGCTGAAAACTCCTTAAACTCCTGAATCCGATGAGAGGACGATCCCCTTCAACAGCACCACAAAGATCCCGCTGAAAACTCCTCCGAAACTCCTCCAAAATCACCAAAACGAACTAGGGTTTGAGGGGAGAGAGGGGCTAGGGTTTCTCTGGAATTCTGATGGGTTTTTGGGTTGGTTTCGCGTAAAATAGTATATATATATATATTACGGTTAAAACCTGAACAAAACCCAACCAAACCCGTTACTAAAAGAAAACCCGAAATCAGCCCGTCAGTTGACTCATAGGTCGACTCATCAGTCAACTCAGCAGTCGACTGAGCAGACACTAAATCCAGATTTCATGCATGTTTTGATGTACAGCCAAAACTAATGCACGAAACTCTATGAAACCACACTCATACATGACTAACAACTTGTTACCAAGTATCTCTATGACCTCAAGTCATTTATCACAAATAGAATTATTTATACACTAATAATTCACATATACTTCTAACAAAATACGGGGTTCTACATTCTTCCCTCTTTAAAAGAATTTCGTCCTCGAAATTCAGAAAGCATATTCAAACAAATAGTATTACTCTAGTCAAGCATATAACGATATTTATATTTAACAATCCAGGATGACTATATTCCCACTCAACCCTTAATCGAATGGCGGTCCATCACCCAACCAAGTCATGCTACCACCTCAAGGACAAGATCCAGGCGCTTATCGATGTAGGCATCATAACCCCGAAGCCGGCCAAGAATGTTGGAGCAAAC